GCAGGGGGGTCAGACTTCATTATGGTTTTGCTTCTTCAACGGGGGAAAAAAAAAGTAGTTACTCTAATGCTCATTACATTCAGCTTGTTTGGGGATTGTGAAGATAAATTAGTAAGGGTGGGTGGTGTCCTCTACACTGCAGTGTGAGAGGAATAAAGAGACATGGATGCTGGCTGAAGTGGCACCAGGCTGTGTTGGCTTTCCAGTTGCTGTTTGATGCCTGGCCCACCAGTTCAGGGCAGGTCCATGCACCTCTGTGCAAGCTGCTGCCTGCTGAGGCTGGCCACCCCACTGTGCTGCTGCTCCTCACCCTCTAGTGAAGAAAAGCCTCATTGGTGCAGTGCTAGGCCTTAGCATTAGGATCTTTCAGGTCCAGCAGCACCGCTTGGTCTTTGCTTTTACAGCATCTCCTTTCCTTCCTGCTCTCTTATTGCTGCCATGGGGTTAAAAGCCAAATGCTGCATCTTCCCTAAAGCATAACTTTTCCCACAAAGCAGCAGGATGGTACCGTCTGCTACTGCCAGCTCTCCTCTGAGAGCTACTCCCTGCTCCCACCTCTAGCTAACTCCCCCATCAGAGAGTACCTTATGGGGTTACAGCTTGTACGTTTTTCCTCAGAATAATATTCCCTGCTCTGCACTTTGTCTAGAGAAGGACAAACAGAGCCTGTGGAAGATGCATTTGGTAACTGGAACAGAGAGACTATATTAGCTCTACCTTTTGCAATGTAAAAACATATCTGTTTTAGGATGATTGGACAGAATTTGGCCCTTGGGATTTATAGCCTAGGCAGGTTAAGTGAGAGCCGTGCACATTAAATGCAGACTTTGAGGTAGGCCGTTGCATCTTTCCCAAAATGATGTTACCCTACGGTCAGATTTTGTTTGTTTTTAATACTCTGTAAATTTAATACAGGGGCTTTGATGCATGTTTTTCAGCTTGAAAGCAAAACTGTCTTCCTTTGTCCAGCACTTTACAATTTTAATGCTTTTAGCAGGCAGCTCCAAGACACAAAACCAGGCTCAGGAAGCTGCACAGCTAACAAGAATATCTGGAGCTGTTATAGGAAAGATTTAAAAGAACACCCAAGAGGCCAGGAGGGGACAGAAGCCTTTTGGCCAGGGCATACATCAGTCTTTGACTGAGGACAGGAACAAAGCTGCACCATGGTAGGTTGTTCTTCAAGGGCTCAGTGGTGTTTATGCACCTTCTGAGGAAAAGTCTGGTATCAAATCAGCGTCAGAGAGAGGTTGCTGGCCCTGGTGTGTACTGCTGGAGCGGGATTGCCTCCCTCCCTAACTAGCTGAGCCTCTTCTTGCACCAGCTTTGAGCTTGCATAAAGCCTTTGAAGAGTTATTTCTGGGTTATAGCGGTGGGGACGAGGGAAAAGCCCTTTTGCACGTCCAACAGAACTTTCTGCTGCTGCACTTACTCTGGTTTTTGTTTGTTTGTTTGCTTGCTTGTCTAAATTTTTACTGTGCTTTTGATCTGAGCCCAAGAATTGCAACCATCACTGGGAATGTGCTGCTAGAGAGAATTATGAAACAAAATGCAACCGCAACCCTTTAAATGTTGTTTTAAGTGGTGTCTAGACCTCATGCTGGCTTTCTGCACCAAGATGAATTTCACAGAGAGAATAACCCTCCCCCCTGCCCCCCCTTCCCCCAATTTATATTAAAAGTCAATTCCCTATACTCTCACTCAACTCCGGTCCTTCTGTATAAAGAGGAATAATAGGGCTTCTGCTTTCTTATTTTCATTTGCCATTTGTAAAAGGCTCGTGTTTAATGGAAGAGGAGGGAACACTAAAAAGGAAGCGTGAACCTGTATAGGGCTTTTGAGTTATTAGGTTCATTAAAGAAAGCCACAAAATGGTAGCAGTGGAAAAGGCCAAAGTCAAAGCATCAATCTTTGCATATTCTATGGCATTGCCGTTGAGTCTGAGGAAAGATGCCCTGACCCTTGAAGAGCCTGGCTCATGCTCTTGTGGGCACACTGCTGTTGGTTGATGCCAGCAAGTATTTCTAGAACCACTGCTTGTGTTGAATTTGCATAATAGATAGTTTTGGGTTTATTTTACCTAAGGAATTTTCTCTCTTCACTCACAGCTGTGGTGTTAATAACTAGATCTGCCATTAGCTTATCTGACACCGTAATAATCCACACACACCACACCCACGTAGGTAAGACTGAGCACAGAATATTCATTAGTGTTGGAGGATGGAGAAGAGTTATCAGCCAGGATGGGCTTGAAATGCTTTCTGGTGTTGTGCACAGGGGCATAAAAATGTTCAAGGGAAATATTTTTTCCTGTGGAAATTCCCCTTTAGGTGAAAAGAAAGAACAAAGTAATGATTCCACTGTTTATTTTGGCAACCAAAACTACTCGAGCATTACAGAGAGCAATACTTAGTAGTAATCCCAAATAAATCATTGAGATTATGGTCATTTAGGTTATTCTCTTCTTTCTTTTATAGTAGACATCACAGTTAAAACAGAGCACCTCTTGTGCCTGGAGCTGCTCGTTAATACAGGAAAAAATACCGAGAAGAGCTTATTATCTAAACAGGCAACACATAGTGAGAGATGGGATGTTACTACCCACACTCTTCAGGTGGGAATGAAGGAATATTGAGAGTAAATGATTTGTTCAAGGTAGCATAGATGGCTATGCAGAACCCACCACATCCACCACAGTTCTGATCCATTTGTTTTCATCTATTCATTCTCAATTTAAAAAGATTTGATGGTTCTTATCTATTTTTTCCTATGTATTTATTGCTTGAAGGCACTTGTACTGTCACAAAGAAGTGCTTTGTATCTGATGAGCAAGCCATCATCACTAGGATGGGCTTGGAGATGTAGGGATTGGGTTCATTCCCAAAAAGAGAACATCTGCACCCAAATTCTACACCACCTTTGCTAATAAGACTCGAAATGGCTCCAAAGCTTCTTTTCAGTCTCTTGAAGCTCCCTACTGGCAACACATTTCTTACACATATGGAAGAGGAAGAAGGACTTTTACTTACTTAAATTTTAGTCCATCTTCTGAAATCAGCAGAAGTTGCAAGCAGGTTTGCCTTTCCACAGGGTCTGACATGAGGACCTCTTTGCCACACACAGGAGCAGAATGAAATGGATCCACAGAACATTCTCACTGGTCAAAATTCTTCTGGGTAAAAAGAGAGAACAGCAACCTTATTGCTTGCGTCTAATTATGTAGATTGATGTGACACAAAAAGGTACAAGCTTTGTGCTGCCCCTCTGCATATGGTGAGATTTCACTTAGCAGCTTGAGAAGGTAAATTAAGCGTTAAACAGCACCCAGGATAAGAGGGCAAGATGACTATGTGCCCTGTAACACTTTTTACATATGAGCTGTGCACAAGGGCATGTCTAAATAAAATGCATAGGAAATAGCATCGCGCAAATATGATCTACATTTTTTTTCCTGATCAAAGAGGCTGAGGGAAAAAAATAATTAAAAAGTAAAAGCCTTATGCAATGAGATTTAAAAGAAAACTTTGGAGGCTGACAAGACGCATCTGGCACAACTTCAAAGTCCTTCAAAGTACATATAATCAATGTTTGTCAATAGCAGTTTTGCATCCTTTAATTTATCTTTCATGGATATAAAGCATGATGTTATTAGGATCCAGTCCATACCTTAATTCCGTTTGAGATTTGATGAATCAGGGCTCCATTAAAATTCAGTGCAAATCAGCTTACTCAAGGACACGTTACATAAAGTCGTGTGTTATCTAACTCCTTTTATCTTGCTGTCTTTCTAACTCCTTAAAGAATCTGGAATCTCTTATACTTGTATGTGTGGCCACCAACATACTAAGCCTCAAACACATTTTGCTTGTAGGCACCTGCTTCAATTATGCACGTGTGGCATAATTTGTATACTTAAATTCTTTGTGTATTTTGTGATGTATGAAATCCCTTAGGATGCTCAGGCTCCAAAGTGAGAAATTATCAGAAGTGAGGTTCCCTGGCATCCAAATTTCAGCGTTTATTACAGAGTCTGTGATCAAGTGCTCACATCTTATCCTTTTCACAAGAATATCGCAGCCTGGATAGGAAATGAGGAAGCCCTTCTGATTTCACTCTTTTCTTCCTCATATTTCACCCTGTGGACACGCCACCCATCCATTTTATTTCCTGTATGCTATTTAGGTCCTTCTTAGCAAACAACCATATTCATTTTTCTCCTGGTTGTGTTTAATGTGTTTAGCACTATCCTATTTAACCGTTTTATAACCGCAGAGAAAGCATATTGCTAGGGAGTTCCATGTGAATTTGGGCTGTGATGTGAGGACACTGTATTTCTATCACCCTCCTCCTTCTTCTACTCGGGCTCTAAACTATCTGGGAGAAAGAATGTCTTTTCACTTGCTTTCATAACATGAAGCACAAACAGGATCTGATCAGTGAAAGTTTGTCAGCATTTCCGCAATAGAGGGCTGTTTATACTTGCAATAATATTGTGATCTCCTCAATTGCTGCTGTTATTAGAAATGCTTCAGCTTCTGGAGGCTGGGAGTTACTCAAGAATTTCAGCTTTTACTGAAAAGAGATTCCAGGTTCTCACATGTGTGAATAAATGCTTGAGAGCATGAACCTCAGTGTCTGAAATATAGAAAATAATAAAACCCACACTTTTTAAAACCTTATATTTTTATAAGTAGATCTTAATTATTTTTTTTCAGTTAGTCTAATTCATGTTTTTTTTCAACAGACAGTTATAGTCAAAATGATTCTATTACAAGGAAAATACTTTGGTTTATTGTCAATTTATGCTATTATCATAGAATCATAGAATAGTTAGGGTTGGAAAAGACCTTAAGATCATCTAATTCCAACCCCCTTGATTTGAAGCACTTACCAGCAGTTAATGCAGTGATTATCTGGTCAGGCTGCACTTATTTGATCAGGGTAATCTGTTGAACATTAAACAATATTTGAAGCACGGTTAATTATTTGCACTGAATTAGCTCACCCTTGAATGGTTGTGGCTTGTCTGAAAGAGACGTAGGCAAGAAGAAAAGGGGAGTTTCAAGAAAGAAACAAGCAATAAGGATGGTTAGCAGTGCTCTGACCCTTCATGTTCTTCCACTGGTCATTCTCCTAGGGAACACGCATTTCTGCGTGAGTATGTTTCTGAATTACTTTTCTTGCTATGTGCCAGCTCTGTTTCTTGCTGACCCCTTCCTGGGCAGCTGGAGCATTTATCTGTGTACTGGTATTGCAGGATACTGAGGTGCCCAAGTAAAGGCTGCACAAGAGAGAAGCTCCATGGGGTTTAGGAGCAGATATCTACATTGACAAGGAATATCCTGTCTGGGTGTGTTCGGTGGACACCCTGCACCCAGGGGTGTGCAGCGGGGAATGCTGTCGCTTCCCCAGTCTTGGGCAGTGAGAGATGCTCCAAACCACTGGGCTGCTCATCTTCAAGCTGAAGGGACTTGAGATCAGATTAAACAGGTCAGGGTATGTGTTGACTTGGAAGTTTTGCAAGCTATTTTGTCCAAGGTAAAATTTACCACAGCCGTAACTTTTGGATGGCTGAATTATCATTGCTACTGACATGGAAGAAAGGTTAACAGCAAAATACTCAACGCAGCTAGAGATGGCCTTTATATACTTTCTCAAATCTATTCATCTCTTCTTTAAAGAAGACTGAAAGAATGACTTGCAACCAAAACAAAGCTAAAACTCAGTTTTCAAAACATTTCTTTTGTTCCTCCAAGCACTGCAATCAAGTAGGTTTCCCACAAAGGAATTTGAGGTTCTTTCAAACCCCTGCTTTCTTAATGATAGTCTATATGCATGCAGGTTTGTATTTGCTGAAATGCAGTGCAAAATTTCAGATACTGGTATTTTTAAGTTGAATTCTTTGGGAAAAATGTGTAGTGAGGGGGTTTAAAGTGTTATAAATCTTTTTTTAAGAACTCCGTGAATTTTTGATCAGGGATTTTTCAACACACAATAGGGTATTTATTAATCATTTTATTAATTAATCAGGTCTATCTATCTGATGACAGCAGTGGATATGGCACACTTAATCCACCAGTACATATGGCCACTTACTGAGGGGATCAGTTCTAGGTAGCTCAGCGCCAGTTTTACAGACATTGTGGGAACCCAATCTAATATAAATAAGCTCATAATGAGCTGGTTGTGTTAATTCACACTCAGTGAGGAAGATGCAGGTGCAGTTTTAGACAACACAAAGCCTTGCACAGATTGTTCCTAACTATACCTAAGAGTTAGATTGATTCATTAGCTTTGACGATCCTAATCTGACTTTGCTCTAAATATTGCTGTGGAAAATGTAGAGCATATCCCCCCTCCACCTCACCCCTGAAAATTCATTAACATTGCTAAAATGCAAAAGCAATTCTGCTGTCACTGAAAAGCAGCGTGGCAGAATATTCAGCAGGCTAGTTTTTAATAAAACATGGTTTTTCTTCATAATTCATATAACAAGGTTTTCTGGCTTAGCACTTGGAGTGGATCCCAGGAATAAAAAAAAAGAGGGGAATGAGTAGCCATGACGTGACCATTGCATAACAAACATGTTATGAGAGGATGTTTTTGCGTTAATGATTTGTTCCAAAGAAAAAGTTTACTCTGAAATAGTTTGAATGAAAAAAGAACAGATTTGCACTTTGCTGAAACCATGGAAAACACCCTTAAATTCTTTTTTCCATCCTTTCCCAGAGCTATGCATCTTCATCATTGTCATTTTTATCTGAATCTGGTTTGGGGAGTTCTTATAAGTAACACTCTGATTAATAACTGTTATTGGTGAAATATAGCACAAGTCGAACACAGATTTAGGTGATAGCTCCTATCAAGTCAGACAAAATAGAACAGGAAAGCACTTGAACATTCATGGATCTGGCAGGTCTGGAGCAGGACCCTAAGGCAAATATTTCTGTTTGATTCTTTCGTATTACCTGAAGAGAAACTGATTTCACCTGCATGAATCTGGACTATGTCCATAAAAGACATAAAGCTGCATGATGGGTGCTAATGAGAACAGGTTTTGGTCCTATATTTTATCATATATGATGCAACTGTGCCAAAGATCGACTTCAGACGTGACAGGTCTTCTCAGGTTGGGTTAGGTTATTTCCTGCTTTTAATTACAATTCTGCTCAGTAAGATAATATGGTAGAAGTCTGCCTGCCATAAGGTATTGTATTGTTAAGTGTTCCTTATTTAGCCAAGAAGAAATCCAAAGAGCTCTGCTGCAGCAGATTGTGCAATTCAGCTTTGTATCTTCCCTTAACCAAACTTGCATTGAAGCAGCTTTTCTGAAATACACACACATTTAAATGGCTTAAATGTTGTGAAGTTTTGGGCTAGAGAACTCCGCAATTGGACAAGGCTGGGCTAAATCGCACAACACGGTGGTGATGGAACTGTTCATATGCCCAGCTGCAGCTGACATTTAAATATGCTCTAAAGTGCTTCAGTTCATTCTTGGAGGAGGCAAAAAAATCAGTTCAGGCTTTTACCTTGTATCAGAGTTCCCTGCAAACTCAACACCCCTAGCAGCAGAGAGAAAGACACGGAGGGGGCACAGTAGCTAAGTGGCTCTTCAATTAATATTTTGGAACTTGAGAAAGCTGATGTCCACTAAGTTGTGATGAAAAGCATTTTGAAGTCACTAACCAAGACCAGTCCAACAACCAAGAGCACTTACTGGTGGAAAGGGAAGGGTTAATGTGTCACATTAAGGTCAAACAATCACAAAGGAAACTTACTATCAGTGCCTATCTCCTAACTGGCTCACAGCAGATAGAAAACTTAGCAGTACAGGTCTCTCCCTGCCTCAGCTGCTTGGAGACCAACATTTTAGGGTGCCCCAAAATCTACTCAATCTGACATCTTTTTCCACCTGCTGATGGCTCTTTTCCCATGGGAAACTCCTACTCCTGCTCCCTTCACCCTCTCTCCAGCACTGCACCACTCACACGAGGGCTTTATGCTGTGCTGTGTCATAGAGCAATCACTGCAAAGATTAGTGGGTGCTGTCAAGCCTGTCTCGGTCTGTGGCCCATCAGGTGTGATGCCCCTCTGCAGGGCTCGCCTAAATTTGCCTGATGCAGCAGGAAAGCAACAAAGCCTTGGGAGTGCTCCCAGCTAATTTTGCACCACGCACTCAGAGAGGGAGATGTTCCTCGCTGACCCCTGAAGGCAATCTGCTTATGCCCTGAAGCGTGCAGGTTGATATCCCCTGTAACTAAAAGGACTTAATGACTTTGCATAAGCTTCAAGTCTAGCAGTATAACCTGCATTCCCAGCACTGGCTGCAAAAGCGTTTGATAGCGCAGCTCACTTGTTAGTGTGACAAGCTGGCTCCTGCAGCCCCTGTGAAACAGATCTTGTAGCTTCCCCTTGCTGTGGCATCTGAGGCTGACCCCGTTTTCCACCTGGGAGCACAAGCACACCTCATCCACCAGTGAGCAGCTTTAGAAACAGCCAGCTGCTACCAGCCCATCTCTCACAGTGCAAAGATTAGTTTGGAAACTTTGATCTCTTGGAAAACAGGAGCAGGTAACTCCTGTGCAGGGAACCAAGCTGGTTTCAGCAGCACCTCCGAGGGCTCTTGCTTTCTTCCTGGATCCCTGTGGCTTTTGTATCGGGTGTTACCATGGGAAAGGTTCACAACTAAATAATCATCAAAATGAAGACTTTAAATGTAAACCTCTCTGGGTGCCCTGGGACCCGTCTAATGAATGTGTCACTCACTCGGACTCACATGTTGCAGTTCAGTGTGGAGGCAGGAGATGTCTTGCTAGCAGAGAGGTGAAGAGCTCAGAGATTCTGGTGGAATCCTTTCAGAGAATGGTTTCCCAGGCTAAAAATACAACATGTGTTGCATGTGTGCTCCAGATGATAATACGCCCTGCTTTCATTATACTGCAACCATGGCCTTGGCTGAGAAATACAATGCCGTTGCTGGAAAAGCCACTTTCCCTTGAAGTTCAAAGACTGTCACTACCCAAGATGGTTGCAGGCAAAAATCTGGCCGACTGTAAGAGCATCAGAACTGTCGATTCCCTCCTCCTTTGGCGAGAAGCCCAGACAAAGGTTCCCACTGAGAGCTGTCAGCAGGATCAAGGGGTTCACTGCGAAAAGGCAGTAGTTGTGTCTGCCCTCATGGCTCCTTCATGCCTTATGTCAGTTGCAGATGGAAGTTGATCAAATATCCATCCTCGTCCTCCAGTTCTTCCCCATCCCACCTCCTTCTCAGCTGCAAAACTGTGGCTGCACAGAGGAGCACATGAAAGGGGCGATACTTGTTTTTCTGCCATGGAGGTCACTTGGTGGTGAGTTGCAGGAGAATTTGCCCAGCTTAGTGCAATTAAGTCAATAGGCCAGTTTCTACCAATGAGGTTTAATATCTGGACTCCTGTAGTGCTTTGTTGCAGACTGTGTGTATGTGCAGATGCAGTTCTCATCCTCGTTGCTAGCCTGTCGTGCCAGCTTGAGTAGCTACAAGGTTTTCTCTGGAGTTGCTTCTGGTTTGCACACATGTAAATGTGCAGCCTAACCCTGGGTTGTTGCCTTTGTGCTGCCTGTTTCTCCACCTGCTTTTGTGGTTTAATTATTCATTTTGATTGTAATAAGGAGTAGCGAATGTACCCGAGACACACTAAACAGTTCAACTGCAGAATGCCCTTGGCAGCTGTAAATGATTTCCCTTGGATTTGGGGTCAAATCTTCCTGGATTTATTCAGAAAGAATTAAGTGGACATTTTTTGTCTGAGAAAGAGCTGTAGGATTCTGTCCTGAGACCAAGAAAGCTCATGGTGCTGACGTTACTGTTTGAAATCCGTTACATTTCATTAGTCTCTCTTTCTTATTGAATTGAAATGGAAAAATGGAGAGTATCATGTATCTGCAGCATTTAACCTTGGAACAAAGCCTAATTAGCAAAGTTTGGATGGTTCTTCAGAGAAGTGAAGTTTTACTGAAGTGCTAATCATTATGATGATGATGATAGACAACAGAGGTCAGGTGAAATTAGGGTATTTTGAATTTCAGCCATTTCTTCCACCACGTTTTTCTAAGAGCCCTATAAACGCAACCAGCTCCACACTCAGCAATGCACTGGTGCCCATATCAAATGTCTCTCTCAGGATTTTTCTCTCTTTTTCTGCACAGTTTCTTTTTTATGAGCCTAAAGTAATAACATTTAAAATCCCTCTCCACAAATTCTTCCATTTTCATCCCCCATCCCTGCGGACCCGCTACATAGAGGATCCAGCAAGTTTATTCCCTCTTGAGAGAGCACACAGAGTATCGGTGTCGAGCTGCAGCAAGGAGGCTGTTTGGTGAAACCAGCCCCGCAGCCTTAATTCCTTCTCCCAACCCCTTTTGTTTGAATCCTACTCTTCGTTGGGCTCCGTGCTGCACCTCGTCGGAAGGACAAGATCCTCCTCTGCTGGCCACGAGTAAATACGGCACGGCAGGCAGGATGCCCTGCCTTCACCCCTCCTGCACCCTCACTCTGCAGCCCCCTAACCTGTGCAGTCTCCTAACTGCCTTCTGCATCCCATATCCTGCATCCCCTTATGGCAAGGAGGAAAGGGTGAGCTCAAGCACGAAAGAGGGAAGGAGGTGAGCGCTTGTCCCTCCTCTACTGCACTCCACCATGGAAAGGGAAGCAAAAGGCTAAAATCTGGCCTTGCACTGGCTAGCGGGGGATCAATGCTTCAAAACCAGTGCAGTCTGGTGAGTGATGCAGTAGAGCTCAGAAGGGAGGGGAAAAGTGTCCACACCACGAAGTCAGCTTTGCCTGAGATTTTGTGTATCTGCTGCTGAAGCATCTGACAGGCTCATGAAGGGGAAAAGCTCCAGGGAGTTCCAGGGACACTGGAGTCTTATGGCAGAGATTGAGCTTAACTCTTGGATTCTCTGCTCCAGGATCTTTTGTTCCCAGAAACATTTCTACTGTGGCAGCAGATGGAGGCTTTCACCCAAAGGCAGGAACCAAAGTTTGGGGCTCATCCACCCCAGACTACAAGCCACTGCCTGCTTTCAGGGATATTACAGGAAACCTGCACATTTCCCAGGCAGCAGTCATTGCAAGAGTTTAGGGTATCTGCCCTTCCACAGTCAGCTCTGTCCATGGAGGAGTGCCTGGATGCTATGGGAGGGGCAGGTGGGTAACCTGGAAAAGAAAGTAGTGTAGCAAAGTGCAAGGTCTCTGATCTTTCTCCTTCCCTTGGTGTGTGAGCAAAGTCTTGGCCATTGTGTGAGTGTCATCTCTGCTCTACAGCTGGGGGAAACTGAGGCACGGAGGAGCAAGATGCGGTCACATCCTTCACCTCACTCAGCCTGGGCTGAAACCCTCTAGCATCCCCATGAGGTGCCAAGGGCTGCCCCGAGTGCAGGGGCAACCTTGCTGAAGTCAAACCCTTCTGTTCCCAGAACCCCTTTCCAACCCCATCAACACAACAGGGCACTGCAGACAGCTGGCATGGGAGACAAAATGTTTCTTGCTTCATCTTGCTCCCATTGCTGCTTCCTTGTTCTTAGTTTCATGAATCCTCCAGCAGAAAGGAGCACTGTTGCTGGGTCTGTTTTGGTCTGTGTATATGGATGAACACTACCACTAATTGTAAATGGAGCAATTAAACCTTTTCTTTATACGGGGTCTGGCAAAGGATCTGACCTGCACTTAGGAAACATATACACCAAGGGCAGAGCTTTTACAGCCTTCTCATTTACCATCATCTCCGTGCTCATTCAGGAGGGGCAATTGTGTGAATGTGTGTGTCCTCCCAGCTGCAAAGGATTTAGTTATGGATGTGTGTGGCTCACTTAAGTGCACCTGGAAAGGGGCTCTGCTGAACAGTGCAGGGGACATTGCTCATTAAAGTCAGTGGGAAGGGGAGAGCTGGAGTGTCTGTTCTCCCTGGCTCAAACACAAGAGGGAAACAAACGTGCCTGAAGCAAAATCTCATTTATATATTCCAGGTAATATTCACAAATATAAATTCTGAGATTTAGGTCCTGTTTTTTACTCATTGCTTCTGATTCATTCGTTCTTAGTTGCAATCGATGTTAGCTGAGAATGTTATTCTTCTATATGTCATTTCTATATATAATGCATAACGAAACAGGGTGTAGATTTAGTTAATTGTACCTGTGGCAATATGTAGGTGCATATAGTAACTGTGTGTGTGTGCATGTATGTTGTCTTTATAGCATGTGTTCAGTTGTTTGGAAATACATTCTCTTCTGACAAATCGTGTGAGAGATGATGAACAGCAGCTCCAATTCTCCTTCTTTACACCTGCTGTTAGCACATGTATTCTCGTCACAGGCAGGTAATCCTGTCCATAGCTGGGGTTTAGAGCAAGAGGGAAAGCAAGCTGAAATTGTCACGCAGGGGATGCATCCCGGTGTGGAGTCAGTGTGTCTCCTTTCAGACAAACCTCACTCACACTCTTCAAAGCCTGAGAGCTGTTTTCCTTCTTCTGTTCCCTTTTGTTGCTCGCCCTTGATCATGAGCCCAACAGGAAAGGCTGGAGCTCCACGCTGGAGGTCGGGAACATGGCATTTCCTAATGGGAAATGGCAGAACTGTTCTCAATTCAAACGTTGTTGACAGCCTTCCAGTTCAGAGGTCCAGATCCCACTGGCTGCATCAGCACAGGCTCCCAGGGCTCTGCTGCACTGCCTGACCTCCTCTCTACCTGTCTGAGCTTCGGCAGCCAGCTTTAGAGTGGCCTGTTGGTATCTCAGACACATTAGACAAGCAGCCAGTGCATGGTCACTTAGTGAGCAAAGAGGCAACCGAACTCATTCAGGATAGGCTTTCCCCCAAACACACCAGCCCAGCCACTTGGACTGGATGCTCAGAAAAGGCAGAGCCCCCATGTGGGCTGTTGGGAGCAGGGGGCATTTGAAGACATTTTGCTAATCCTTTGAAAATCCAGCCCAATTAGCTCCGAAGTGGGTAATGGATGTCCGGCTCTGGGGCGAACAGAATCTTTGTGCCTTAAACCAAGCGTTGTGCTGGCTTTTGTTTTTTCAGAAACTGACTCTTTGCCCTTTTCTATCTCAAGCAGGCGGCCCATTTATTCTCCCTGGCTGACCTGCTGAATGGTAAGTGGTTTTGACTTCATTGTAACCTGCATACCAAACTGAGGGACTGGTGACCTGGTCTTTCAAAGAGCCTTTTCTAGTGCCCAGTGCTGAATCTTATTAACTTCATGCACGGCTTTGCTGAGCTTAAAATGAGGCCTGTGATCAAGTAGAAAGTGTGTTTGACTTTGGATGAGTAATACAGTGAGTAATATTCAGACCTCTGCATGTGCTCTGTGCTGGTCCAGGGGACAGGTACCTGCACTGGATCCCAGGCAGGAGCATGTCTGGCACACTGGAGCCCAAACCAGAAGCACAGCAGCAGTACCACTTTGCAGCTGATCATGGGGTACTCCTAGACTGTACAGCTCTGTTCCAAGCCAGGACTTTTCCACTGTTCATAGAATCATAGAATGGTTTGTGTTGGAAAGGATCTTAACATCATCTATTTCCAACCCCCTGCCATGGCAGGGACAACTCACACTAGACCATGTCACCCAAGGCTCTGTCCAACGTGACCTTAAACACTGCCAGGGATGAAGCATTTACCGTGTCTTTGGGCAACCCATTCCAGCACCTCACCACCCTCACAGTAAAGAACTTCTTCCTTATATCTAACCTGAATTTCCCCTGTTTAAGTTTGAACCCATTACCTCTTGTCCTATCACTACAATCCCGTGGCTGCATTCTGTGGCTCCATTTGCTCAGCATAGCTCTGGGGATGCATGGTGCATCATGATGCTGGCCTACAAACCTCACATAAGCAAAGAGTCTAGCTGTGCATGAGAACTGAAGGCCATATAAATGAAGGCTAACTTTCCCTTGCAGCGTACAACAAACTGTGCAACTTATTTCCACAATGTTTTGTGCTAAGTGCAGGAAGGTTCAAAAGGTGTTTACAAGCTCAGGCAAGTAAAAAATCATTAAGGGCTATGCAGCATTAAGATGTTGATAAAGGTAAAGCTGTGATGAATGTTATGTGTGGATGTGTAGATTGTATCAGGATTTGCACATCCTTTTGCAGACTGCTTGGTCCACATAGAAGATTATGGTTTTATTTATATGTTTAGTATTCTTGCAGATAAGTTCTGCTTCTCCTTTTCTTTATTTCAGTGGCTCTTAGATCTGAATTTATAATTTATAGCTAATAAAGTATTTTATTAATATGCTCATTTTCCCAACAAAATTATGTTACATTACATTAATATACTCATTTTCTACTGTTCATTCCAGTGGCATTTTGGCTTCCAGGTCAAACCTGCAAGGTCCAGCAGACTTGTAGTTCATACAGCACTGCTGCTTTCCCCAGATCAATGTTGCTCGTCTAAGAGGATGTGTATGGAACATAAATTTCCACATTCTTTGTGCACCCGAGCATTTGGCTTCTGCAAGTATCTGGCCACAGAGCTGTGTGCTTGGCTTCAGGCTTTACCCGCAGGCCTTGTGCAAACTGATTTGCCTTTTGATGATGGAGTACCCCTTTCATGGTCTCTTAATTCATTCCCTCCCTTATGGTTATTATAACTTTCATTATAAGGCTTTATGGTCCTTACCTCTGTCTCTCCACTGCCCCTGCCCTCTTCATTCCCCATCCTTCTGCAATTCCCGACTCCTTCAGCGTCATCATCCACCTTCGCCCAGCTCCTGACCCTCCAAGGAAAAGGTGCTGCAAAACCGCTTTTAAGTAACAGCCATAAAACTATGTAAAAGGCTTTGTTGTTAACTGGTCTCTCTTTCACAACTTCTTTCTGGAGGTACAGATACTCCCAGTTATAGCGTGTATGGAAGAGAGGAAATATGTGAGGTCTTGTCTCTATAAAAGTAAATGGGGGACATCTCGTTATTTAAAATACAGTCCGGATTTCAGCCCCATAAAAATAACACTGCATTATTCTCAGAGCTGGAGACAAAAAGTATTTAGAAAGGTGGCAGGAAAACTCATCCTGCTTAAATTAGGCCACATTTCAGTCAATCCCCAGAGGTTCAGAGAGCTTGAATAAACGCCGGGTACTTTCTGGCGCTCTTGATGTGTGTTGGCAATAGGTTTTAACTTTGCACATCACTCATCTTGACATCTGCAGTCCAACAAAGTTACCTCGCAATTCAGGTCACTCGATGGCATCCTAATGCATCACTTTCTCACTCGGAACATTAGTCATGACTTGATCCAGTGAAGGTTTTGAAAACAGTGTGACTGCTGGCGTTGGGATATCTGTTCTTTCTGAAACAGAGAGCCCATGTAAGCTAATGAACAAGGGGATATTGATCAGAAATCCATTGCTTGATTGACAGTTCTTGGCAATGTGAAAAACTGCAGATGAAAGCTTGAGCAGTTTAAAAGATCACCCAGACCTCAAAGCTGATTTGAAGCTTTAAAAGTCAATCTCTGCCTATCAATTATGGGGGGATTTTTTTGTACTACACAGAGGAAAGCTATTCTTTGAAAATTTGCATGCAGGATGTCTAATTTAATTTCGTGTAATAGTCACATTTCAGTGACAAATGTCAGATCACTGCTTTTTTAAAGTATGTTAAGGTTTTCCAGCACTTACAAAGAGTGAACACTCTGATTTAGTAATATGTTTAAATCAACCAGTGTATAAGACTTTGTGCATTAATTATGTGCTCAGATACAAAAAAGTGTTGTTTTTCCTTTACTAAACCTATAGCTTGTTATGAATAATTAAAAAAAAATGGAATGGGAGCACTTCTTAAATAAGAGTTGTAGAAGCCAAATAGTTATTTAGTGCCGAAGCAGTGATAAATAAGACGACATCTTTTAGTCTGATGTCATGTACCCAGGTCAGGGTTTTCTGTTCTTTGTTTTTCATTGCTTCACGCAGCTGGGGAGGGCAAGGAGTAGCTGGGAGATGGGAAACATCACTCGTGACCCATAGAAGCACCTTCTGCTTCATAGTTTCATAAGAAGAGATGGGGGAAGTAGGGATGTTCTCAGCTCGGCAGCACACTCATCACCTTGGCTGGTCTGACGACCAGGCAGCTCAGCTTCCCAACTCCCACTATTCATATGGGAAAACCAGGGTACCCAAAAGCATTTGCTGATGTTTTTCAAGCCCTTTCTGTATGCACCTTTAACTGCACAGCCTGGTCATAACATTTCTTGCAGTGGTAACTGCCAGCCCATGAGGGGGTTGTTAGACAACCCAAAGTGCCCTCCTCAAGAGCTGACAGGTACCACACTGGCCTCAGATGTGCATTTTCCTGTTCCATAACTGTCTGGGGGTCATCTCCCTGTCAGTGTGAATAGGGTTTTGTGCTCCTCCAACTTGCAGAGCTGTCAGAAGCAGACGTCCTGCAAAACATGAATTGCATCTTTGCCAACTTGGGGTTTGCCATTGAGATGTACTTAAAATAGTCCATAATGGGGCCAACAGGTAATTTCATAGGTGTTGTTAATAAATGATTAATTATTAACATTAAAAGATTGCTAAGATATGATGCCAGTGTAACAAACTGAAGTGACAGTATTCTCATTTCTCAACACCATATTTACACTGAAGAGTTGGTTTAAAAATCATGTTAGATGCTTCTACAGTGGCTTGGCTATTTGAGCTCATTTGGAACTCTTGTTTTTCCTGCGTCAACTCCAGAGAGTCCTCACCAGCCTCTGTAAATCATGCTGGGCATGTTTGCATTCTGCTTCTGGCAGCCGTAACTCCCCTGTTCATCCTTCACAACTTTTAGCAGGTATATTTTCCTATTAAAAGGGCTCCCCCATCCCTCAGAACACTTCTTTAAAGCGTCTGTGGAATAAAAGGCAACGTTTCCCACTGAGATTTTGAAAACAAACAGGGAAACAAAATCAGCCTCCTTCAGACAATCCCCTCAAACTCAAGTCTGCTCGCAAAGTCTCCCCTCCGACACGGTGAGCTCGCAGGCTGCATTTCAGGCAAAACCCTCTTTTTGTTTTCCTTTCTCAACTACCTCACATTAAATTTAATTTTGTTCACTGTAGACAATGTCCTTATCTTCCAGCGAGATCCTTCTGTTCCTCAGCAAGGCACACACTTCCGCAACACTTGCACATTGTCGAGACTCGGCTCCTGTGGAAATAATGAGCTGAGGAAAAGGAGTCTTGACTTAACGTAGCAATAAATGAGGTGAAACTTTCCTCCTTTTTTTTTTTTTTTTGGTGAGAGTTGGCATGTAGGAAAAAAAGAAGGAAAAAAAGACAGTTCTATTTTAATATGAAGTATAAAACACCCATTGTACAAAAGTGGAATTTCTTTCTTTTTTTTTTCAGAAGCAAAGAAAGAATAAAGATAAAGGCTGCAAGCGAATGAATGAGGAGAGAAAACTAAGATAATGCAGTTGATAATCAGTTCAAGGCAGAGCATTATCCATGGGGCCATCGGTCCGGCCCTAGGGGAGAGCTTTTTAAAATGCCTCTGTACGGAGCTTAGCTTTGCTCATTACCATAGCTTGTCTTTGAAACACCAGCGTGGCTTCCCTCGGCAGCAGCCCTACCTGTGCAAGGAGCTGCCAGCCCACTTTAATCATCCAACCCCCCCAAATATGCGCTGGCAAAGCAGTGTGTCCCACTGGTGCCAGGCTCCCAAGAGGATGCTGTCTATTGGCTTGGCTGAGGAGAGGATGGACTTCTTAGCATAGGTCTGCTGTGCCAGGCCCTCACTCCACAGATGAGGCTGTGTGTATAGGGAGCTACACAGGTGTGCAGGTACCTTGGGCCCTCAATCCCTTCCAATTTCCCCCAAAATGGGTTTCTGTGTCCCCACACGCAGCAGGTACCTGCGTGTTGGTGAGGGTCTTGCCTTGTGCTGCAGCAGCGGTGATGCTGATGGTGATCAAAGTAGCTGAACAAGGGAAAACCCTTCTTCTTGTAGGAATGTAAATCCCCTTTTCTCACTGTGCTGGTAGCAGCCATCAGCATCTTCCCTGGCTGTGAGAGCAGAGCTGGGGCCAGCAGTGCTCAGGGGTGGCCATGCTGGGAGCTGAGTGAGCTCTGCCCATACCGAGGAAGAGCTGAACGGCATACCTTTGGTCCTCAAGATGATGCAAGCTCTGGACCGACTAACATCCCAGATGAGCCAAAGGAGAAAAGGGCTGTGTCCATCCCAGGAAATGACCTCTTTCATACCTTCTTTCCTTCTAGCAGTCCTAATTCCTCTGTTCTTCCTCTCTCATCTCACCCCATCCTGCAGACGAGGCTGATGACTATGAGTACGATGATGAGTACCTTGAATTGGAGCAGGACCTCTTTAACCAGCAGCAGCACTCAGAGGACCCTGACTGGTTTGAGGCATATTTTGGCTACAGCGATACTAGAAAAGGTACCTCTGAGGGGTGGGCAGGGAGCGGTACAATCCCAGCCCTGTGCTTGCAGTGGGAGTGTGGCAGGCCTCGGCTGCCAGCCTGCTCTCGAAATGCCTGCATCAAAGGGATGAGTTAGGAGGATCGTTTGCTGTGTTCTCCTTTGTATTTCTCTTGTAAGGAGCCTGTGTTTTATCTCTGGGTTTCACAGGATGGATTCTGATCATGCAGAACATTTCTGATTGCTACTACAAAAAAAAAGCACAGGCTTATTTGTCTATAGACACTGTAAGATGTAATTGCTGTTTTCATGGGATGTATGTTCTGTATTTATGATGAGAACCAAATGTAGAGCAGGTTTCTTTCTTTTTTTTTCTTTTTTTTTCTTCTCTCAGTTGCAGTCTTTTTTCTTTTTCTGTTTTGCCAAACTTCAGGAGAGCAGGAAAGGGTCCTTGAGATTCCTCAGGGAACACAACAGGGAAGTTGCTTGTAACATACCCTGGGTTACCCCCTGGTACAAAGAGAGCAGAGCCGGTACGTGGCTTGTCCCCAGTGCAAATTGCTCCTGACAGCCTGAAATAGAGAGGTTGAACACAGTTCTAAGGAATAGCATTCAAGAGCCTCTCATCAGGTGCCTGCTCCCTTGAAGCAGCAGCTACCCAGGGCTATTACAGAGCATCATGGTGGTGGATGGCTTTTCTAGGGAAAATTTAGTGCTGCCTTACAAACAGAGCAATGACAAACCCAGATACCTCCACAACAAGTGCATGAAAAGAGATGCCCAGGCACAGCTCTGGCTCTTCAGGCATCTGTTTCTTCTGCTGCCATAGAGGCAAATCTGCCCCTGGGCTAAGGAAAGAACTTGCCCCATTACAGCTCCATCATAGACATAGAGAAGGGAGTTGGGGATGTCCAGACCCAAAGCTGTGAGCTGTTACAACTTGCAGTAAGCTCTGCAGCAGCCCATAGCTGCTCCTGTGGTTGCAGAGCTGATGCATAAACACAGTGTGTTACACAGTCTGCTGTGCCTAGGAAGGCAGCCTTCTGTGGTCAGAAAATGCAAGAGAAATCAGGTGATGGAGGTGGAGCAGCTGGAAGTAAACTAAAAGGTCCCCATCCTTCCCCCAGCAGACCCATGCTCCTCCAACCCCTGCAAGAACAACGGTACGTGTGAAAACAGAGGGAGCAGCTTCAGCTGTCTCTGCCCCAAGCCATATGCTGGGAACACGTGTGAGAGAGGTAAGTGTTCCTTTGCTAACTTACACTCCTGATTTTGGCACCTGATGTTACTGTTACATCTCTGTCAATGGGAGCAAACACAAGGCTTTATAAACCCACTGTTTGCTGGGCTGAGGGTTTTGACAGCCCACCCCAGTCATGTTTATAAGTCTCACACTTAGCTCCCTGTCTAGACCTAGGTCTGTCTAAATCAGTATCCAGATTTTAGGTGTGCAGAAAGCATTCCATCTCCTAACAGGTGGTCAGTAAGGAGCTGCTTGTTAGTCATAGTATCATAGAATGGTTTCGGTTGGAAAGGACCGTAAGATCATCCAGTTCCAAACCCCTGCCTTGGGCAGGGACATCACACACTAAACCATCTCACCCAAGGGTCTGTCCAACCTGGCCTTGAATACCACCAGTGATGGAGCATTTACCACTTCTTTGGGTCTCCAGGTTCTTTGCCACTGATACTGAGAAAATGAAGAGAAATCCCAAGCCCACATGGGCCAAGCTCTTGTGCACACACAAATGCTGATGAAGCACCTCATGTCTTTTTGTTTTCCACAGTGGAGGACATGTGCCTGGAGAAGAGGTGCCACAGAGGAGACTGCCTGCTTACATTAACTCCACCTTACTTTAAGTGCAGTTGCAATCATCCCTACAAGAAACCTGACTGCCAACGAGGTAGGCACTCAGCCCAATCCAAGTGGATCATGGTGGGGACAGCACGGGGAGGTCACCTCATCACTGCTTGTCTGTGGTAGAAAATCACATACAACCCACTGCATAGTGTGGTCCTGCCCTCGTCATCCAGCCTGAGTCTGCTACAGGTCCCATCCTTGGGCTGGTCAGTGATGAGTGATGCTTGATGCACAGTGGGTGGTTCAGTCATTGGTAACCTGCCTGGTGATAAGTGTTCTTTAGGAGCTCATAAGAACTCAAAGCCAACAGGCTAAGTGGGAGCTCTCCCCACTTTCCATCAGGCATGTGAGCGGCTGTATGGCACTCAGCACAGTGACAGGGCTGTTCTGTGTCTTCCCCATTGACAGCATCTTCACCATGCAGGCCAAACCCTTGCAAAAACGGAGGTGTCTGCGTTCGGCACAGGATCAGATCCAAGTTCACCTGCGAGTGCCCGGCACCTTTCAGAGGGAGGTTCTGCGAGGTCGGTACGTCACAGCACCGGGGCACAGCGTAAGGTGTGAAGCCTCTGGACAGACCCTAAGCCAAAATAACTGATGCCATCACTGACTACACACGGGCACCCAACTCCCTGGGGAGAGAGATGGAGCAAGAGGTTGGCTTCTGCAGTCACCACTGGCAGAGGGAATCAAAGCAGTTCCAGTACTGGTGTGTGCTTCAGCAAGGTCTCACTGCTGTATGATGAGTGAGCACACGTTTCCCAGAGGTGGCATATGTCCCATGGGGAAGGAACATCAGGCTTTCCTTAAACAATCAAAAGATGATGTAGTGAAGATTCATTCCCAGTTGTCTGACTCCCCATGCTGAGGAGACAGCCACTAATATATGGAAGGGCTGCCAAAGGCATCCCAGCCTTCATGAAGAGCCTTTTGGCACTGTACCATGGGCACCACAGCCCACACATGTTTCCAAGAAGGAGGATTTGGGTTTTCTCTTTTAAAAATTGATTGTCCTTCAAACTCCACATCACAGGTGACTTTTACCTCCACCTCACTTACAGGTCAGGTTCACAACCTGACAACCTTCTTTTTGCACATAGAATCATAGAATAGTTAGTGTTGGAAAGGGCCATAAGATCATCTAGTTCTAATTCCCTGCCTCTGTCCAGCCTGCCCTTGAACACTGCCAAGGATGGAGCATTCACAACTTCCTTGGACAACCCATTCCAGTGCTTCACCACCCTCACAGTAAAGAATTTCCTCCTTATAGCAAATCTAAACTTCCCCTGCTTAAGTTTGAACCTGTTACCCCTTGTCCTATCACTACTGTTCCTAATGAAGAGTCCCTCCCCAGCATCCCTATAGGCCCCCTTCAGATATTGGAAGGCTGCTATGAGGTCTCCACGAGCCTTCTCTTCTCCAGACTGAACAGCCCCAACTTTCTCAGCCTGTCTTCATACAGGAGGTGCTCCAGTCCCCTGATCATCCTCGTGGCCCTTCTCTGGACTTGTTCCAACAGTTCCTTGTCCTTTTTATGTTGAGGACACCAGAACTGCACACAATACTCCAAGTGAGGTCTCACAAGAGCAGAGTAGAGGGGCAGGATCACCTCCTTTGACCTGCTGGTCACGCTCCTTTTGATGCAGCCCAGGATACAGTTGGCTTTCTGGGCTGGGAGCGCACACTGAAGCTGGCTCATGTTCATTTTGTCATCAACCAACACCCCCAAGTCCTTCTCTGCAGGGCTGCTCTGAATCTCTTCTCTGCCCAACCTGGAGCTGTGCCTGGGATTGCTCCGACCCAGGTGTAGGACCTTGCACTTGGCATGGTTAAACTTCATAAGGTTGGCATCAGCCCACCTCACAAGCATGTTAAGGTCCCTCTGGATGGCATTCCTTTCCTCCAGCATATCAACCAAGCGTATCCACTGCCCTAGCATGGTAGCAGCTCTGTGCCCACTTCTGTCTAACCCTGCTGTGATACCATTTCTTGCCAGGCCACTGGCAAAGAGATTCTGCTTTGGCATTAAGACACCTCTTAGCTGCTAGGTCTTTACCATGCAAAAGCGTTTCAGTCATTTGAAGTCAATCAAGCTTCAAGCTGGACAGATATGGGAGATTAGCCTTATTTCTGGCTTCTGTAGGTTAAAAGGTACCATTACATGACCCAGTAGGTCCTTCTCCTCTATAAAATGAATGTAGTGCAAGGAAGGGAACAAAGAGGGACTGCTTCGGGCACGGAGCAACACGAAAGCAATTATAACTTTGGTATTGTCTTCCTACAGGACTGTATGACTGTTATGAAGAGAACTCCTTCAATTACAGAGGAAGAGTGAACCAAGCAGCGAATGGCAAGATGTGTCTGCACTGGAATTCACATCTTCTCTTGGACCACCCTATTAATGCCTTTATGGAGGATGCTGACTTTTATGGCATTGGTGACCATAACTTCTGCAGGTAATATTTTGAAGAAGCAACCTTAGAAGTCTGTATCAAAGAGAGCACTGTCATGGTTTAATCCCAGCTGACAACTCAGCCCCACAGAGCTGCTCACTCACACCCCCACCGACAGCATAAGGGAGAGTATCAGAAGAGTAAAAGTGAGAAAACTCATGGGTTGAGGTAAAGACAGTTTATTAGGAAAAGTAAAAGCCGTGCACACAAGCAGAGCAAAACAAGGAATTCAGTCACCACTTCCCATGGGCAGGCAGGTGATCAGCCATCTCCAGGACAGCAGGGCTCCATCACATAGAATGGTTACTTGGGAAGACAAACACCATCACTCCCAATGTCCCTCTTTTCCTCTTCCCCCCAGTTTACATGCTGAACACCTTGACTCTGTGTAAGTAAGCACTGCGCAGCATGAAACCATCCCTGTGTCATCAACTCTGTTTTAGCACAAATCCAAAGCACCAGCCCTGTACCAGGTTCTATGGAGAAAACAAACTCTATCTCAGCCAAAGCCAGCACAGGCACTGAGGATGAACTGCTCATGAATTTGGCAAACCGATAGTGTTATGATCTCACATCTTTCAAGACAATGTCAGTCTACAAAACACCAGGATGTCAGAGGTGCATTCCCTAAGTCACTGATGAAAGGTTTCCAGAAGCAGCCCTCATTCCCCATTTTTCTTAGGGTTAAGATAGGTCTAGGGACAGTAAAATGGCAAAAGCCTCACTCTCTTACCTCAAGAATCTTCTTTGTAAAATCTTAAGAAAGAGTACCTTTGGAAGTCTGGTTCTCATATGAGAATAGAAGGCTGATCCCTTAAGAATTCTCAGCTCCTTCCCTGGTTTCATGGGGATTTCCCCATTCCTGCTGGCTGATGGTCTGAACTGTTCCCTTCAGGAATCCCGACGAGGATGAAAAACCCTGGTGCTACATCAGAAAAAATCACAAAGTGGAATGGGACTTCTGCGATGTTTCACCCTGCTCAGGAATAGGTAAGGAATTAGAAGTGAGCTGTTTGCAGTAGTGTACATGATCCAGAGCAGCAGGTGACTCCCTGTTACTTAACTCCTCCAGTCGATATTCTCTGCATTATGTATCTACTGTCTCTTCCAACGCAGCTGAAGAAAGCCTACAGTCAGTAGACAGCCCAATAGACCCAAATGAAATGTTCAAAACATGTGGACAACCAGAAATTCCAAGGATGCTTCAGAGGATCTATGGTGGGACTAAGACCACAGCTGGCAAACATCCCTGGATAGCATCTCTGCAGAGGAAGTCTTCACCTAGTGGTGAACATTTCTGTGGTGGAGTGCTGATCAAAGCATGCTGGGTTCTTACTGCTGGGCACTGCGTTGAGTAAGTGCATGTCATGTGCCTAGGGTAGATAAATATATAAAAATCAGGATGGTTATTAAAGACAGTTTGGAATTCAATTTGTTTGCAGTCCAAATGATTGCTGGGAATCAAATAGAAAGGAAAACGTATATGTGAATAAATGAACACATAGCTGAAAATAGATGCATCTACTTGAAAATGGTGCTTACTGGAATAACAAATTAAACTTATCCCCCACTCAACTAGAATGAGCTAAAATAGTTGTGTGAGAGGAAAAAAGGAGGAAAGTAACCAGGTTTCACAAGGTATAAAAGAAAGTCTCTATGAAAACTTCAGGAGATAGTAGGATACCATAAACAACATCACATATTGCATCATAATTAAGATCTCCAGAACAGCCTAAATATGCATTTTGCTTCCAATTGTCTATGTGCCAGCTACCTTAGAATATGAAATTTCCTTCAACGTTTTTGTTGAATAGGTTGGAAACTACCACACTGAAGACTGGTAAATCACACTCTGGAGATCATTCCAGCACAGATGATTTTAAGTATGTCCAAACTGCATATATGCAATCGTACTCTCCGGGCTATATGAGCAGCCACTGATCATCACAGCCACAGTCATACATGTGTGCCTACTGCTACTCTGCCCTAAAATGCAAAGAAACCACATCATGCAGTTTTAAATCACTTTGTTTTCCTGATTGAAATGTGTTAAGAGCACATGTATTGTCCAACACCATCACTTCCCTGACTAAGCCCTCCTACAACGATCTTGAGAAATCTATACATGCTCTACAACAGGAAGGAATATCTTGACTTGCAGCTGCTAAAGGTGCAGGTTTTCACCACCACTGATAGACCATGACTGAATGTGATTTATTTTCTATTTCAGGCAATCAGCAAAATATCTCCAAGTAGCACTTGGAAAGCAGAACCTCAAGAAGAGAGAGCCTCAAGAGCAAATATTTGATGTGGAGAAGATCATCAAACATTACAACTACAGAACGAAGAATGATGTCCCACACAATGATATTGGTAAATCCTTTTTATTGAATACACACCTCCAATGTCAGTGGTTCAAAGCACCTCTCCCCAACTGACGTCAATGTAAAATTCTCATTGAGGCTATATCCTGCAAACAATTAGGCCAAACTGTGGCTTAGACCCATTTGAATTTTTGGGATGTGACTCTTGATGGGCAGGCAGAAGTGGGAGGAGCAAAACAACAGGGATAGGTCCAGCATGGAGTGTAAATAGCACTGTCAGGTACATGCAGCTTTGCCTGGGGTCATGTCACAGCCTGGTATGATGGTTTGGGATTAAAATTAGCTCCAAATAAATAAAAGTCGCTGTTTCTCTTCTCTCCAGCACTACTTAAGCTGAAGCCAGTTGATGGTCACTGTGCAGTGGAAACGAAGTATGTGAAAACAGTGTGTCTGCCTTACGTTCGCTTTCCCGATGGGACTGACTGCTTCGTTTCAGGATGGGGTGCCACAGAGAAAGGTATCTGTGGTCTATTCCATAGCAAGACAGGCTGGTTCTTTCAGTAGCAATTGCCAGACCCAAATGTGGACCTAGACACTTAGTGAAACCAAGACATGGAATTCATGTCTGAAGACATGATGAATTAGATGAATTCGTTCATCTAAGGATGGCTAAACCCTGCCATGGAAACCACTCATTAGCAGAAATCCCCAACTGCTAAGACCAACCAAACCTTTCAGAGCTCTGCAAAAATCCCTCACGCAGTGTTTTTTGCTTGCCACCTGACACACCATGTCATGGTTTCACCTGAAGCCAGCAACAGAAGCAAAGAGATACCAAGAGAGAGGCTATTGGATATAGAGTTTGTGTGTTTCAAGACAGGACTAAGAAAGATGGGAACTTTCATACAGTTTTCCAGCCCATTGGGTCAGCAAAAGCTTTTCAGAAGCAGCATCTGGATCTTCAGATGTGCTGAAAAATAAGGAAGAAAAAGAAAATCCAAAGCTTTTCAAGTTCAACCAGCTCTGTCCCAAACCTTTCCTGACCGTGGTAAATCCTAAGGGGAGAAATTACTATGCTTAAAAAAAAAGATAATGGCAATTTTCTGAAAAATGCATTTTCTCATGTTCTGATTGATGTGTTGCTGTAAAGCAGCAGAAGGAAAATGTGTCACTGAGGCTGCAGTAGGTGTCCTAGTGCTTTGTGACTGATTCAGCCCGATACGATACATAGGACCAAATTCTCCCTTCTGATGTAGCTCTCATTGAAGTCCACAAGAGACAAGCGTGTTCATTTGATCAGAATGCACCAACAGAATTTAATGGACATGTTTTAAAAATTCCAAATAAAAAGTCTCTCTTAAAAAAGGTACAGGGAATTTTATTTTTCTCTTTCCCCAACAAAGAGTCTCAGGTACCCTGTACGTCTTCAAACTAGATGGCTCCTTTGAGCAGATCTATTATTAGCATTGCAGGAAATCACTGCAGAAATGGAATATTTCCCGAAACTCAAGCAGAACCAAACTTATAAACCACCCTTAATTATCTACAGATGTAGTGCTTTGAAATCTTGGCTATTGCCTTTAGATGTCAAGTTATGTCTTTAGATTCACTGTAATTAATCGTTGCCCTTAAATATTGCATGATTTTCAGTTTTCATCTGTTTCATTAGCTCGTGCGTTAAAACATCTAATGGCAGCAGGCTGAGAAGTGCTGAGCCGCTCGCAGTCCCACTCTGGGACCCGTGGGAGCTGCAGACAGCCAGCACCTCTGAAATGCAGGATTACATTGGTAGAGATGATGGGAGCCAAATTCTGAATACCTGACCTTACTTCTACTCAGGTAGCAACTCTGTGTCCTGAGCAAAGCTTCCAGGCTCCAACTCTAACCCATACCATTTCAGACATATACGTCTTTCCTTCTCAGGCTAGCACATGCTTCCTCCCCTGCTTCTCCCCCTTCCCATCCCAATGGGAAGCAAGCTCGTGTTTTGAACAAAGACAATACATAACAGGATTGGGAGGAAGGTGACTCCATTTTTTTGGTGCACATCCATAGATGACTTATCCCATCAGCTGTTAGATGTCAACGTCAAGCTGATTTCGCAGAGGAAATGCAATGCACCCAGAGCATATGATCAGAGACTGGATGAAAGCATGTTTTGTGCAGGAAACTTTCAGAGACCGGGAGCTGATTCTTGTCAGGTCTGTTACTTTTTCTGTATTTGAACATTAATTTTTTGTGTAAATAGTCAGGCTGTGCACAGTAATACCTTTGGCAGGGTGCTGCATATGCATCTGTTTCTCCCATCAGCGTATTTCAACAGCCATCATCTTTTCTTCAGTACAGTTTGAGATGTAAATCCCTAGAGCTAATGTTGTCACTGTCAGCCACAGGCAGATCTATGGAAGTTAGAGACTTGCCTGGAAAGTTTGGCTTTGAAGGCACTTTGTCATAACCTGGAAACTTGTCTTTTTTCCTCTCTGTTTTATTATGGCCTCTACCATGAGCAAAATCTGATTTTCACTATCACGGCTAAGACTTGCAAGGAAAGTCAGGATTGGTATTTCTTCTCATTACAATCAGTGTAAATGTGAAGCAAGTTCATATTTATACTGCTTAAAGATAGGGAAGAGTTTGAACAATGCTTCCTAAAGTACAAATTGCCACTGTAAGCATACTTTGCAACTGAAATCACCAATTAAACAATGAGACCAACCAGCTCAGAATAAAGTTATGCTGAGGGGTGTGGGAGAGATCAAGTATTTTTATTTAGGCCATTTATCTTTCTGAGCTCAGGCTCTTGAATGCCTTGTACTTTCATGCCTGGGAAATTTCACGTGACCTGGTCAGATGTATGTCACAGACTTGAACAAACAAGAAGTTACACCCAAAAAGTCTGGCATCATTTGACCTGGTTCCGGAACTGCAAGCCTACTCAGGCACTGAGCAGCATCTGGTGGTACATCTGATAGGGAAAAAGCATTATTGCAGTTTCAAAGTGTTATGATGAGAGAGGAATATTCTTATTTTGGTTAACATTTTCCTTCAGGTTTTGAACGTGTGTGTTTCTTCTCATCAGGGAGACTCCGGAGGCCCACTGACTTGTGTAGAAGATGGCTTCTACTACGTATATGGCCTTGTGAGCTGGGGTGAGGGCTGTGGGTTAAAAAACAAGCCAGGAGTTTATACCCAGGTGACAACATTTCTCAGTTGGATTAAATCCACAATTCAGACTGAGTCCAGGTCACTTCATTAGGAGACAGCTTCGGAATGACACATGGTAAGCTTGAGACATTTACTTATTTTCACTGTTTCCCCAAACATCTCCTCTTCGACCAAAAACGCTATTGATATTTTCTCATGGGGCATCCCTCAGCACCATCTTGAAAGCAGCCTTAGAGAGTTTGCTAGAATGTCAGTGGCAGTTTTATGTTGGGGGCTTTGAAATAAGCACGTGTTTCATAGCAAAACAGAGCAGAAAGTAAACCAACTCCAGTTCCTCCCCAAATCAATCAGAGCTGCAGTTCCCAGTGTTTCCAGTTCTGCTTTTTAAGCCTTAAAAAGTCTGCAGGCTCAGCTGCTGCCAGACATTCTTTTTTCCCCTCATGTCCCTCCTGTCTAAGGTGTGCTTTTCCTGCACTCATTGGACCCCAACACCTCAAAGCTATTGGTGTGTGATCGATACTAAAGCCAGTACCATTTTTCACATGCTTTAAAATCGTCTTGTGCCTATGTCTGCAAGACTGCAGCCATTGGAACTATCTGAGGACGGAGCATTAGGCAGGAGAATTATTTTTATACGCATTTCTGTAGGGCAAAAAAACACAAATTCCATCAGTGATTCATTCCAGATTGAAAAGAAAAACAAAAAATCAGTACTAGGATTACCCACTTTATTCCTGATTAGAGGATCATTACTTAATATGCTACAGATCTACAGTGGTATATGTGTGCTTAACTTCAAACACAGTGAGACCTAGAGGGTATTAAATCCCATTTAAAGGTATGGTTGTAAAGCTATTGGATAATTCTTGGGGTTTCATAAGTTTTGCAAGTCAAACAGTGTCATTTTTGCCCAATGATTCTGCAGAGAAATTTGAAAAACAGGGAATTAAGTCTATTAACCTGATACAGTTGAAGATGTCCCTGCTCATTGCAGGTGGGGTTGGACGAGGTGACCTTTGAAGGTCCCTTCCAGCCCAAACCATTCTATGATTCTACAATTCTAAATCAGGATATAAAGACTAGATGCATTTGTGAAGAGTCCTTTTCATCTGAATTCCAGGGTTTACAACCTGCCCATAGCAGCTCCCTAATTTATCAATAGCTACCCCTATGGTGAGAATTTCTAACAAATTCATTCTGATTTTTTGCTTTGGAAGATTTGAAAAAGACTGAAGAACTAATTGTGACCTGAATACATCCAGTTAATCAAGAACAAATTCTCTGATGTCCACAAAGGCCTGCCCTTGGTTAGTCAATGATCACTTTGCTTTCACTGGCCCTTCTCTTGTTTATCTGTTAAGCCACCTGAATCATGCTCTTGTATTCTCTTAGGTCAAAGGTGCCAATAAACCAGGAATATAAAAATCTCAAATTACTACAAGTATGGAATGAGGTTCATCTGATTTATTCATTACAAATTATTTTATATTCTACCAATCAGGTTAATCCATCTGTAGTACAAAGCTGAGCCTGCCAGTCACCTAGTATTAGTTTCATTTACAGCTTCAAATAAATATCAGATTCTGTAATACATACAGTGATAAATCACTGAGTATCCACACAAAAATAAAATGCTCAGTTACAAATTGCAATGTTCAGGTTGTTTTTTAAAACAAGAAGTTTTTAGACACCATTTATTGTGCTTCCCAGAAAACTAGTAAAACTACAGGATTTGCAGGACAAGATAAAAATCTATTTGTGTTATGTCATGTTTCTGTTTACTTCTAATACAGTTGCATTCTTCTTCTCTTGAATTGCAGAATTTCTGAAGCATCAGGGTTGACTGTGGCCTGCTGAGATCCTTCTGTCCCCAGCTGGTCCTGTAAAATGAAACCCAAATGAATTGAATGAATTGTGAGGACAGCCAGTCGACAGCAAAAGGATTATCTATTATTCCATTAAAATATTCGTGTATTAAAAATTACCGTAACTGGCAAACAAACGAGCAAAATCTAAATCACTGCTCTGCACTGAGCAAACCTCTACAGCAGAGAAGTGCACAAAACGGAGATGCTCATGGAAGTTAAATACTACACATCTCACAGGACTGAACGTGCTCAAGTCTTAATTTCTCCTTTGAGCCCTAAACCAAGCAAACACCTGAGCTCCTGGTGGATTGCAGACCTGTAGATTCCCCTGGGATGATCAGATCATTATCATACCTGGGGCTTAAGAAGATATTTGCCTGCAGTCCCCATTGCTTGCATTAGTCAATCATAGCAGTAACTTATTTCCTGCGTAACTTTTCAGATGGGAATGTAAATCATGAATATGTTGTGTTTCTCTTGGCCTGGATTACCGTTTGACTTGTTGCCAAAGTTAAAACTTAAATGAAATGAGTATTTACAAGTGCTGATATTCTCTTTTATTGTTACTTAATCTTTCCTAACTGCAGGGGCTACAGGGTCCTTATATGGACTTTGGCTCTCTTGTGCTGGAATGCTGGTTATTGGGAGTTATCCCTGTGGAGGTAGGGAGAAGGAAAACCTGGAAGATCATGGCTTGTAATTTCTTGCATCTTGAGCTGGACAGACATGGAGGAGGCTGGAGTATTCCTCCTTTGCAGAGAGCCTCCCACAGATATACAGCTGTACAGCACACATTATACTGTCAGGAGTCTACACTGAGTCTGTCCATGCAGCTGCCAGTGGAGATTACACGGCAATACACAAAGCAATACATGGTGTCTTGCTGAGACTAGGAAAAGAGAAGGAGAATTTTACAGGAAGTCCCTTCCACCTCTATTTCTGCTTGCTGTGGAGGTACCAGAACACTTAGAGAGCTGACATTTACAAGTTAGGGGAAACACATCCCATAGTATAAGTAAATCCTATCCCGTGGCACTTCCTAGTGCCTACAGGAGCTGCTCAGCCATGAAAGTACTGAATTCTCTTGAGAGGTTCCTTCAAATTAAGGTGCACACAAAGCCACAAAGCTTTGTGTGGGAAATATACATATTCTGTTGAAATAATAGGGAGAACTGTAGACTTCGGGAAGCATTCACGAGGACTCAACAGGCTCTGTGCCTGTCTGCTATCTAGAGAGCAGAGCTGTTGGGATTTGTGAGAAGAACAGTTTACTCTACTTACAACTCCGTATCGATACTGGGCAGAAGAACCCTGCAATGCCATTTCCCGAAGGTATGCCAACTCGGCAGCTCTTCTTGCCATTTCGACTTTGTGAGAACCTGGGGGAGTCCAGCCAATGCCTCTGAGCCAGTTCAAGTCAGACTTGTATTTTACCTGAGAGAATGAAACATACACCAGTGTGTATTACTTTCTTTGGCTCTAATCAAACCACACACTGTATTCAAGAAAGAGTATATAAAGAGTCTACAATAAATAGAATATTCATTTTCAGCAGCCTGTAGTTCTTTCAAGAATGTGATTTTGTTGATAGGTAAGGTCTGCAAAGCACATTACCACAGACAGCTCTTAACACTTGGAAAGGCAGTGTCATTCAGCTATACTTACATCACTCTGCAACCTGTAGGCCTGCTTTGCATGCTTCACATTTAGCTGCTCAGGATCACAAGTGTATTGGTGAAAAGGCTGCTTGTAGTTAACATTGCTTGCAAGCTGCTGGCTTCTCATAGCATGGAGGAATCCTGGCTGGTTGAGGTGACTCTGGAACTGTGTCATGTTTTGGGCATATCCACTCCTGTATTGGTTGTCACTCTGGAGTTTCCCCACTCTGAGGACATGCCTGATTTTGGGATCATCATTTGCACTGAGGAATCCAATCCGCTGGCCTCTGTCTCTCAGGAAGGCTTCTCTGTATTTGTACTGCAGGAAGTGCAGAGAAAAATCTCATTTTCACATTCAGAATGCCTTCACGTTCTGTAATGAAATAACTTACCCTCCCCTAGATCCTATAGTGCCCAAGCATCAAGGGCTGGTTTGCTAACAAACTACGTCTCCTAATCTAACAAGACACTTTGGAAGAACGCCCTTTGTGATAATCTTTAAAGGAGTACAAAGACTTAGGGACCCCAAAATACTCACCTCTCAAAAGCAACAAGAGGTCTTCTTACTGTTGCACTCTCGGGTGCACCCAGTACACAGCTCAAGCAACAGCTCCTTCATCTTCAAGTTTTTTTGCCAACTGTGGTCTTCTGTGTTCGAAGGTGACCCACTTATTCTAGACAATGCTTTATTCATAGCCTAGTACCTATTTTATTTAACTACATCATAATATGCCTCCTTCTTAAGAATAACTCTTTGAAGTGAAACAGAGCAGCCTGGTTTATTTTATTATTATTATTATTATTATTATTATTATTATTATTATTATTATTATTATTAATGGGGGCCTTTAGTTGGAAATCATTGCACATAACTGGCATTTGGATTCACTGGATCACCACCAATTTTCCAAACCAGAACAAAGTTCACTTAAATCAGAATTCACTCCTTTTTACAGGGTGGGGGTGGCATGGGAAGAGGGTTGGGAAGTGTTTAAAACAGAACGATGCTTACATCACTAGCGATCTCTCTTGAAGCCTTTGCTGTCTGGAATGGGATGGCGTCAATCCTAAAATCATAGCCAGATGCCCTTGTCTGTTCCCAAGATGTTTTATACAATTTCTGTGTTGAAAAGAAAGAAACAAAAGAGTCATTTCCCCCTGCAGTTTCCTAAATGCAGTCCCATAACGGCAATAATAAATGTTTTATCCTACTGGGCTTATTTGTATCAAGAGTCATCAGTACTATCTCCAAGGTTTTGATCCACTTCTATAACACTTCAAATTCTTTTCTATTCACCATAATGATAAAAATGCCTCATCTGAAAAGTGCCACCAGGGTTTCCTTTTGTACTTGAATGGGGTTGTTTTTGATGTGATTTAATTTCTATTAGAATCTGTGATGCATCAGTCACATCAATATTGCATTGCTATTGCCCTTATTCTCTCTTTTGATGCATCCACTTGCAATGTCTTGGGTTTCATGGCATCATAATTTCAATACCAGTTATTTCAAGCTTTTCAAATGATCCCTGTCTCTATCCCCAGCCACATGTGGCTTCATTAACTCATATGGAGCAACAGCCAGTTCTAACATATTTAATGTGACTTTGAGGATGTGAAATACATTTACATCCTGAAGAGAATTTGCTCTAGATTTCCTTCTTCTCCCATCAGTAGCTTTCTTAAAATAGTTTCCAGTTTGCAGGTCCTGCTACACAGCCATGATACCTGAACTGACACTATTGGCTGTCACTTTATTCGTTTTCAGTGTTTGATTCACCCTCTCTGAGTTTTGTGACCACATGAAAACAAGCACAAAATCCACCTCACATTTTAAAATATATTCTTCTGTTTCACTCGTGAATTTAGTGCTAGGTGGTGGTAAATTTGAAGGTAAACTGAGATGCCAGAAATCCTGCAAGTTAGCCTGGGCAGAAGCAATGCAAGCATTACTGCACACCCTGCTAACAGGTCTAGAGCTGACCTTTCATCTGTGTGCAATCACCCCTTTGCCTTTTTTACCTTCTTCTCTACCACTTCAAAGAATGTGAATCGTACTTGTTTCTTTCACCAATAGAGCACCTATCACCAAACTAGGAACTCAAAGCTTCTTATCACTGTGACCCTGCAGTTAAAGACAAAAGTATTTAATCTGGGAACAGTAGATTAGGAACAGACCGAGTGCCTCTGTCTGGATTAACATGGAAACAAAATCCCTTTAAACCAATTCCACTCACTGATTCAGTTGCATCCAGGTTGATGACAAGTGTGCCTAAAGGATCAGTTCAACACAGTGTTGTACAGGTAGATTATACAGTCAAGGAAAGAGGATTCTCTCTTCTCCCCCATCCAAACATACGTGAAGAGATTTAAATTTGTAACTAAGCAGACCTATACTGAAGGACTGAAATCCTTAATAATAGTTTCCTGCCCTGTAAAGTAGAACTAGCTCTCAAAATAAACATCATCAGATTTCCTGATCCTTCCAGCCCAAACCTAGCAACATGTTGGCTGTCCACAGCCTCTGGCTTTTCTAGTTTTTGTCAGGCTCAGAGAGCCTGGCTTCTACATATACATGGAAGTTTCAATTCCCTAGCAAGTGTACCAAGTCAACTCCATGATGCAAAAGGCTTACTTACATCACTGAGGTGAAGGGCATTCTGGCGGGCTCGGATAAAATCTGGATGGTCAGGAGGCAGGGTGTACCTGTGCATAGCTTCAGAGTCTCCAGCCTTGTACAGTCTCTGTGGAGTCAAAAGTCATTAAATGCAACTGATACTGGAGGTAATGTTGAGATCAATTCTTTTATGCACTATAGTACAACAAAAGTTAAGATCACCTATAGTAAAATGAAACCTACATCACTGCACTGGAGGTAGCTGTTTTTAGCATGAATCAAATCTGGAGAGTCAACCACAGCAGTGAACTTCAAACTTTCTGGCTTCTGACGGTACTTTATCTGAGAGGGAGAGGAGGCAACATGAACAAAGAAAAAATAAAACACAGAACATTTCTGTTAATGATATATCACAATTCCAAGCATGTGATAACTGGAGTAACACATAAAAGCCACCTTCCTTAAGCCACAGTATTAAAAACATACTGTTCTGCTATAGTCTCAGTTGCTCTTTCAGCTAGGGAATGGGCATATCACCATATCCTTGCTGTGGTGCCCAGGCACTAAACTTCCTTTTCTGTGTGTGCAAGAAGGACTTCCCACTGAAAATTCACATGCAAAAAGCTTTTGAACACTACACTTTTGACAGCTCATAATTTTTCTCCATTAATGTATGATACTGAACAGGCAAATGTCCCTTCAGTGTGGTTGTCAATGCTATATCTTTCTATATCACTTCCGTAACCACCTGCTTAGAATTTCATCATGGAGTTTACTGCATTTATTTATTACTACATAGTTTGTTTATACTCCTGCATTTCATTCGGAATGGAAAATATTCAGCAGGTGTCACACAGTGGACTTGCATCTCCCATACTGCTTCTTGGTAACTTACACCTTGTATAAACAGGCTCCCACATCAAAAGGCAATGATAAGCTACATTCGTAAGTGTCATGTAACGAGGAGCCTTGATGGTAAACAATTCCTACAGACGTGCTATCCCATGAAAGATTTATCAGTTACCTCGCTGATGAGCTCTCCAGCCTTCTTTACACTTTCTATGTGCGGAGATCTTAGAGCCATCCAACCAACTCCTTTCATGAAGTTCAGGTCTGATTTATAGCGGTGCTGTTAAAAATGAAAATCGTTAGCCATCAGCTTTGTATCCACAGCTATTAAGGTTTCTTAAAAAGACTCCCTGATTCCTATTAACATCTTGTGGGTTTTCATTTGCCATGCACATATCACGTAGGAAAGCCAAACTGTTTGCATTTGTTCATTCCACCAGGAATTAAATAATGTATCACATGCAAGTTACAAGAGAAGGCCCCACGAGTGAATTAGTATGACTCAAAGCTGTAATAACCTGTTTGTACTGGGCGTAAAAGAATCCCTTTTGAAATAATTTTCTGAGGTGAGTTCAAGTCAGGAATACTAATTATTTTATCTGGTGTACACTTCCTCATTAACCCCATTTCTAGGAGGACACATTACTCTTTCTTTACTCACATGAAAGGCTTGCTCTACCTCCTAATCCAGTAAAGAAAGCAAGGCAGACCCAATAAAAGGTGAAAGCCAGTAAAGCACCCACACTCCCAACAATTCTGACTTCTCCTTCAGAGTGACAGTGGCTGACTGTGTGACTTTAATCCAATCATCTGTTTTTTCAGGGTTTTTTTTTTTGCCCTATATGCAAAAAGACATAACAGCCGGCTAGCTCAAGCATGTTGTTCATTATTACATACTGGGGTATCAGACAAAACTACCTTTATAATTTCTCTGGATTTCTAACCTGTGGGGTCTAAAGGCAAAGAGCCAAGTGCTGAGGTTCTTACCTCCTACCCTGTCCCTCTTTAGGCAGAGCTTCCTGCTACAGAGCAGCTCATGACCCTGGACCCTAAACTGTCACAATACAGCTGTCTGCATCTATGCAGCTTTATGCATGCACTCAACATCTACATCGGTTTAAAAGCACGTATAGCCAATGGCTTGTCCCTGAACAAAGGGCCTAAGGCAAAATGAGCATAGATGTGGCCCATGCTAAGATTCCATCATTTCTGTCATCAAAGTTTGTCTGAATTTATCACAGAATCATAGCATCAGCCAGGTTGGAAAAGGCCTTTAAGATCATCAAGTCTAACCATTACCGCATGCCAAGACCACCACTAAACTGTATCACTGAGGGCCTCAAACTTACATTTTCATGAGCAATTTTTGCAAACACATCTGGGGAACTGGTTATTTGATATGGATATTTCTGCTTGCAAAATGACTT